GAATTGCCCAAACTGGAAACAGCGCAGATGTTTCTCCGTTGAGGAATGGATAAGCACAGTGGCGCATCCGCATGATGGATGCATAAATGCCCCTAATTCAGGTTTATTGGTGTTTCCTCATGTTTAAATCCAGGGCTTGCATATGGGCAGGAATATCAGAGGAGCGTTTTCTTCTTAGTGCATCGTGTCTGGAGGCATATGATGTCGTTTAACTTTGATCTTTTGGCTGAGGTGATGTCTGCTAGGTTCTCTACTGTAAAATTACTTTCCTTTGTAATTAATAAATACTTCGTATGTGTGTGGGGAGACACCCTGAGACACTGTAAGTAGCTTGTCCCACTAGCTCAGCACCCACTGGTGATTCTCGCCTGAATCACTGACTTCCCTGAAGACTGTTAAGTAGCGATTTTTAGCTTCCATCATGCTTGCTTTATGAGGCGGCATTATCTTGTAAGGAATAACTTTCTCATTTTCCCGTTTATTAATTTATCTCTTTATGGACTCATGGGTTCCTACTTTATTCAGTGGGTTATAATGTTACTCTCAGTGGTTCCAGGTGTGGCCAGTGGGAACGCTCCAAGCTGGCGCCATGCCTGTGACATGTCCGCGTTTTCTTTGTCCACGGCCGTCTTTTCTGCCACAGCACATGCTTCAGGCTCAGCTTGTATCCCCCCCAGCCCCAGCCCTGCAGTCAGCCATCTCTCCAGAGAGCCCTGACTCCTGTAAGCGGAAATTGGCACTTAGAACCCAGATTGAGTGCTAGAGGAGTTTAATGATTTTCTCTGTAAACACTGAGCTTGTGCTCTAGAAGCATCCATCAATCTCTTCAAAGATCTGACAGTTATCTTTGTAGCTCTTAAAAGCTTACTCACAGTGACACAGAAATGTATGAATGAACTATTGACGCTGGGAACTTCTGCTTAATTTTCTTTGCCTGGTTTGATATGGAGATCTTGCTTGATTACGGGAAATACTCTATGACTCAGTCAGTTAAATGGAGATGGGTGGGTGAGGTCAGAAACATTCCTGCTGAATGGTGACTTGGGGGCCAAGAAAAATATTAGTTCTGGATCTGAGTATTTCGACTGTGCCAAGTATCAGTCACCCTAAAATTTCCATGGTACCCTTTCAGTTTTGAGGTGTCACATGTACATGGTGTTAAGCCAATGACTTTCTTTTGGATGGGAGTAGTGTTGCTATTTTAATACGGTCTATCCTCTCTACTGTTTATGCACAAATTGTAGCTGTTTTGGTCAATGAGATACATCTTATTAATGTTTTCTCATAGAATATTTAAATGTTTCATGTAACTAGAGGTTTTATGAATAACTATGATGATTGAAGAGTAACTTTATTTCAAGAAAAGGAAACTATTAAGTTTGAACCAGCATACTTCAACTTTTTAGAATTCTAAAAAAAAACAAGAAAAACTTCTAAAACGGTTTCTCTGAAATCTCTCTTCAGATTGGTATGTACATAGTTTCATATTGTGTCAAGAATTGGTTATAGAGAAACTGGATAGCAGGATGAAATTATTATGTGTTTGGAAACAAAGTAGTTTTAAATCAGTAGATTCTATACATACCTTTTGTTAGTCAAATCAGATTTACTCTAAGCTTTAAATTAAGTTAGAAGTTGAATTTGAAAGATTGTAAGATTGACTGGCCTTTATGTCTTTATTGTTAAGTAGTTTTTGTTGTATGATGAAGGAAGTATTTTTCTTTAGCTAAGCATTCTTTAATATTAACTAATTTTAAAATGTTTTCTGTCTAATGGCTAGTTACATATATATAAAACAAAAATCAGGATCACAAAGAAAATGTACCAAGTGATTTTCTTACAAATATATATTTAAGCATCACTTTTTTTACTCTACTATGTAAATTTTAATATGATATTTTATAATTGACAAAGAATCAGGTTAGTGTTGAAATGTATATTGGTTTATTTTAAATCAGTTTCTGCAAAAACTAAATGTTTAAAGGTGAAATTCATTGAGAATATCTATAGCACAGAATAAAACTTATTTTGATTAAGACATCTAAGCTGAATACATTTGAACTGGTTGTTCAAATACTATTTAGGAAAAAGTATACACTCAGCATGATTTAATTTGCTTATGATGATTTCAGGGTGTCAGCTTTAGAAATTTTATAAATTTACTAAAATACAGGAACTGGGAAAGGTGGAAGGTATGTAGAAGTATGCTGTAATGTTATTTCAGTGTTTAAAATAAGATGGTTATCTATTGTAGTGTCACTAAGACTATATTATTTATTATTAATGGTGTATACAGTATATTGTGTTTTACTTAATACATTTTTTACCAGGGTCATATGAATATTGCAGATTTAGCCCACTGACAGACAGTTTCTTAAAACTAAATAGTTTTTTCATTGAGTTGGCTTTTATATCTGAAATTCAGATTCCTAATTTTATAGTTTTATTTTCTGCACAACACGTGGCTATCCACAAGAAGAGGGGGAGATAGTTTTACTTTAATGTGTGCTGAATTTGTGAATATATATGAAAATATTTGTAGTATTTGAACGATTTGGGGGGACTATGATGTGTTTTAAGAGAACTGTTTTGAACACATCCAAAAGCTTTCACTAATAAACAACTAATCGGTATGAGACTTGCAGACAATGTTTTGAGTGCCTCCCCTTCCCCCAAGATTCTACTTGGCAAGTTTTGGCTGTTTGAAACTTTATAGATGTAGCCTTTCCCCTAATAACTCACTGTTCATGCCTGGTTCTTGCCTTTCCTGACACCCAGCCTGCTTTGATTTCTCCTCTCTTACCTAGTTTGGAGGTGCCACCACCATGTCCTGTGTCCCTAAAGCTAGAGATGACGGTTGCAGCCATCTTTAACGCTTCCTTTTCTGTCACCAGCCATATATAATGGGTTCCAAGTCCTAAAAGCCTAAGCACAAGCAACTCTGACATGTGTCTGCTTGTCCCCGTTCCCATTCATTTCCATTCCTTCAGCAGATGTTTAGTGCCAGGTGCTGGCCAGGGAACCAGCAAGGGCGGACGACAAGGGCTCGCCTTCATGGCACTTGCCCTGTCGCAGAGGAGGTACACACGGGCAAGTAAGAAAGCAAGCAAGCAGGCGCTGTTATCATTGCCCCATAGAAGCAGGAGTGATGACATGAAAGATGCCAAGCGGCGCTGTGGGGAGAGTGTTAGGGCGCGCTTGGTTTTGAGCCAGCCGTTCAGGGATCCTGGGCCGAGAGGACAGAAGTGCAAAGGCCCTGACGCCAGCAAGGGCTTAGGCTTCCGGAGCTAAGGGGGTTCAGTGAGACCAGGGTGAGCTGATGGGGGAGGGGTGGGCAGGAGATTATCTACAGGGACCCAAGGTTCTGCGCAGAGGGTTGGGGATTTAGTCTCAGAGCATGTGGAAGGTGGATCTCTGTTTTTAAAATATCACTGTGAAGAGAATAGTGGGAAAAAAGGGCCGCTTTGTAGGTCCCTGGTGGCGGTAAAGTGACCCCTTGTTGTAGGTCGTATTAGTGGTGAGAGAGGAGCAAGCACAAGCTTGAGTTCTAGTTTGGAAACAGAACAAATGGCACTTTCTGATGTGTTGGATGTGGGAGCAGGGAGATGAGGGAGCAGGAAGAATACAGGATGAATGTTGGGTTTCTGATGAGACCAGCTCTTCTGAAAGTGTGGTGTGCAGACTTCTAGGGTGGTGGGTAAGGGGCCCGTGGGGTCCTGGATACCGTTCTGTGTGGTCTGCAAGGTCAAAACAATTTTTGTCATGATGTGAGACCTTACATGTAAAACCATTGATGCCTTAGCTTGAATCAGTGCGGTGACACCAGACTGTTCTAGCCTTTATTTCTTTCCCTGTTACACAATTTTAATAAATAAAATACAGTGACTTTCATTTTAAAATGCCCTTGATGAAGCAGAATCAAATCTTGACTTTTGAGTCATGTCTCCTAATATGTGTGATGACATGGGAGGTGCTGCTAATTGTATTGTAGATATACCTTAGTGTAGTGCAGTGCAGCATTTATATATATATGGAGAGGCAGTAGAGGTGTCACAGTTGTACTTTAGTGCGGGGGGGGGGGACACCCCAAATAGCCCAGGGGATAGTATGAGAACAGTTATATCGCATTCCTGATGGTATCTTGCTGCCACACTATGTTGTTAACAGCTAAAAATAACAGATAAAAACTACATCAGGAAAAAAAAAAAGAACTTGGAAACCCTTGGCATTGCGTGGGGTGAGTGAGGAAGCAGCCCCCAGAGGTAAAGGGCCGAGTCTCGCTTATGGTCAGTTCTTGGCTCCTGTGCGGGCTATGTCTGGTCTCCAGTCTGTGTTTGCAGAATTAATGGAATGAATGTTTTATAATCACAAGCAAAGCATGTATAAAACCATAAGTACCCTCATATGAGGACTGACCTTTTAAGTTTAAACCTGAAAGTCCCAGTAAACGTGATAGGTGGACATACAGAATGAAAGTGCTACCGTTTGTAGGCTGTGATGACAGGCTGCATATTAGGGGTGTAGACCACTGGGCATGGTTATCAGGGTGTAGACTGTCGAGCATGGTTATTGGGGTGTAGACCATTCGGCATGGTTATTGGGGTGTAGACCGCTGGGCATGGTTATCGGGGTGTAGACCATCGAGAGTGGTTAATCGGGTGTAGATCATCGAGCATGGTTATTGAAGTGTACCATGGTCATTTCCTGCTCACAGTGGGGAGGGTGAGAGGACCCTCTCTGATCAGTAGGCACAATGGAGAAGAGAGAGCTGCATCTCACGAAATAGGATTTGCTAAGCACATGCGCTGCTTTGGAGAGTGGAGATGGCTGAGACAGTCAATATTTGTGTAACTGAACAGAGCTTGGGTGGAGCAAATGGCAGATCTGAGAAAATGGGCTCCCGTAATGGATCCTTTTGAGCGTTAGGTAAATCTCTATACGGCGAGCAATGTGACTTGGTAACGACCACAATATTTATGTGTCACCTTCCCATTTTGCAGAGTTCTGACGTTCCTGTTCCTCAGACAATGGATGAACAGTCACAAGGGATGCAAGGGCCACCTGTTCCTCAGTTCCAGCCACAGGTAACTGGTTCTCATGTGCTCATGCCGACCTAAGTAATACTACTACTACTGCGCTTAATATGTGGGTTGCAGCCAATGGGCTACCTGTGAATGTCCAAGTTTTAGTCAGACTTGGTTATATTTTAGACCGTGTTTTAGAATGCTTAGTTCTCATGCCCAAACATGAAAAGGGGGCAGCTGTAGATTTTCACTTGACTGGCCTGACCTATGGGCTTTGAGTGTTAGTGTTAGGTCCTGGGAAAAAAACAAAGGGGAGGCTGTGCCAGGCTGGGGGGTGCCTGTGTGTTTTGTACCTGCATTGGCCATGTGACCCTGGGTTGTCCACACCTGCCTCCATCAGTGCCATTTCGCTTGCTCTCTCTGACTAGTCAGTAGTATGATTCTCTGGTATGCAGTTGCTTGTTTTTTTGTAACGTAAAGTGCAGTAAAACAGATGTCTCCGTAAAAAATGTACACACACTACTGAAATTCATTATGTAGCGTCCAGCCTGCCGTTCAGCTCCATGTGTAACGACACGGTTAAAATAAATGCGGGGCAGCTCCTCGTTTCATCGTCCTTCACGAAGGCCACCTTCCTCAGCCTGCTGCGCTGTGTCTCAGTGTTACCCTGCTGGCCTGTCTCGCCTGGGCCGAGACAGCGGCTCTGAAATTGTTTGAGGACTTGATAGGTCTCTTTGCCCCTGAGTTCTGCAGGTTTGGGAGACTTGGGTGGACAGCGACCTTCATGGCTGTCCTTTCTCAGAGCCCCTCTGAAACGCGTGCCCATGTGGAATTCCCACGAAGAGGCTGTTGGTTGTAGTGTTTTCTGTACTTACTGGATCGTGGGACCCTTTCTTTTTTGTTTGTTCTTTTAAGCATATCCATTGGCTTGTCCCAGGACAAGTGCCTGAGGTGCACAGTTCAGAAAAGGCTGCCTACCCGTATTCTGCCTTCCAGCGCCTCTTCTCCCTCTGTGACTTTGTTCATTGTGTGTCTTCTTCTCCTCCATCTTCCTCTCTCGTGTCTGAAACCCTGCCCACCTTCACTGACCATCTAAAAGGCCATCTCGACCTTGAAGCTTTCCCCAACATCCGAATGTAGTGTCTTGTCCTGGAAACCTGATGATGCTTTCTTTGTGTGTCTCCCCTGGCGTTTCTGACACCTTTGTGGCGTTTCCTGTGGACGGTCCCCTTTTCTGTCCTGTTGGGTGAAGACGGGCTCTTCATTGAGGAAGAGGCCCGGGCGAGTGCGGCCCCTCACGGGGAGTAGGACCCTTCATATGAACGCGTGTCAGGCAGCCCTGTGCTGACGGAATCCTGCCTCTTTCTTTGTCATGCCCACCTGAATTCTCGGTGTTCAGAGAAGAGGCCCTTCGGCTTAGAATAAGGCCCACATTTTAATTTCAGGATGGTTCTCTGTGGTTTTAAATGTACCCTGTCTTTTGTGTTATGGTCATACCTGATCAAGATGACAGTAAGCAGCATCTGTCATTCAGATAGGAGCATATCTTAGTGCTAGTTTTGTGCACATACACAAACACTGGTGATTCATATTACGTTGTTTCTAGCAAAGACAGTAAAGATGCACCTCTAAAAATTAGGTTGCTCGTGTTATCATGGTGAAACTCACAGTTTTGAACAGCCCTAAGTTTCAAAGGAAAAAAAAGAAGCACTTTCAGTTTGCCTCCTCCGGGCTCACCCACCAGGAAAGGTTGGGCCGCAGGAGGAGGCGAAATGAAAGTCACAGCGTCACTTTCAGGGTTACGCACATGGCTCTGCGTCTCACATCACGCTGTCCTTTCATGGATGCCCCCTGCTGCTGCTCCTGTGTGGGTGGCCTCCGTCCCTGCTGGAAATAGGCAGGTGTCACCCCGGGGCTGCCTGTGGCCAGTGGGGAAGAGGGGTCTGCTCCTCTCGTCCACATTGATGGTGTGAGACCGCGAAAGAAAGATGACCTGACAGGAGCTATGGGTGTTATTGCTTATTAAGTCTTTGAAAAACGTTACTGCTCTCAGTAGCGCTATTTTAAAAGGCTGGGAAAGACAGCCCCTGCTCGGGGGTTGACAACCTCCTTTTGTTTTGTTCCACACCACTGGCCTGAGGAGCGTGGGCGACGTGGCAACATACGGTTAGCTAGCTGAGTGACTCCTTTCGCGTTGTGATGCTAACATCAGCATGGACATCAGCCGAAAACCAAGGCAGTCGGCTCGGAAAGTGCCATAGGCCCAGCCTCTGTTATAATGACGAGGGCTGTGTATTCTTGGCGTATCTTCTTTTTGTTGTTGTTCCAAGATGAGTACTCTGAGCCCATAATGCATAATATGTGGCCTCATTTTTAGTTCAGTAAGACTGTCTTTTTCTTTTTTTTAATTTTTAGAATGTGAGATTTATATATCTTTATTAGTGTTTCTTTGCATTACTGTCATTCTCTTGAACTTACGGATACTTTTTTTCTGTCAAGTTCCCTTCCCTTCCCTCCCACCGAAGCCTAAAAGGGCTGAAAGGATGCTTGGACGACATTGTTATCCTATACATCGCCTTGCTTTAGGACTCTCGTTTATGGAACAATGGATTTAGCTTAAATTTTTTTCTTTTTAAATATAGACTGTATACAAGATGGTGACGGAAATAGCAAAATACTTTTTACTATGAGACTAATTTTAAGCAGCAGATGTTTATAACAAACATTTTGAGAGTATTTTGACCTTTGCTTGTCGAGGGGCGAGGGCGATGCTTCATGACTTTTTATCATAAAATGAAGTATAAAAGTTACAGTCACGGTGCAAGTCTAAGTCTTTCTGGGAGTGGGTAGAGGAAGGCCTAACTTGAATTGCAATAAGCATCAGGTCTTAGGTTATACTGACTCTCCGTAAATGTGAAGGTATCCCGTGTCACACTGACTACCTGCGAAGGAGGGAAAGCATCCCAGGTCCACAGGTAGGAAAATAGCCCTTCCTCCTCTTTACAGCTTGGAAGGTGTGGGGATCTTGTCTTGGAGTCTTGCGACCCAAGCAGCGAGGAGGCTGACCATTCCTATAGGCTTCGTGGCAGTCCCCCCACAGCCCACTGTGAAGTGAGAGCGGGCAGAGAGACGGCCGGTGGTTCCCCAGGTGTCCTGTGCGCCAGAGCACAGCAGCCCGCGTGGACTCACTGAGGGGGGGAAAGTTTAGACCCGATACCATGTCACCCCCACCCGCCCCCGTGGCCTTTAGCTTTTCTTACACAACTTTCTTTATGACATAAGGACCATCATGCAGCTGGGTTCTTTTGGTAAATTGATTTTGCTGAGGTATTGTCTTGTAGCATTGAGGACAGCTTCTTTCTTTCCCCGGCCACATTTATATAGAATAAATTTAATTATGCATTCTTTTGCCCCCTTGACTGATCTCGTTCAGTATAGGAGAACAAGGGGATGGAGGAGAAGTTTCTAGAGGAGTTACGATGAGGTGTGCAGCAGAGGGGTGGGGAGCTGGGATAGTTTAAGTCAGCACTAACCCCCAGAAGCTGAAAGCGGGAGACGGAGCAGTGCCGGGTATCGGCAGGAGTGAGTGTGCGAAGGACGGGGAGAAGGCTGAGGTGGCCCTGGGGACAGCAGCACGCTCGGGAGGCATGTGTGCAGCCTCGTGTTTGCAGCGTGAGCCCTGAGGTCCGGTTGCCGGGGTGAGCGCTGGGATGCCCCACACGCAGCTGTGGACGGAGCGCGAGTTTCTGCCCACCTACCAGCCCCCCTTTTCTTCTCGTGCACGTGGAGACTCATAGTTGTACCTCAGAGTTGATAGGGAGGTTGGTCTGGTGCGTGGCGCAGCACGCTTCAGACGAGGGTGACAGTGACAGTGCGCCCCCAGCGACTGGCGTGGCCCACAGGTCTTGCTGCCTGTTGCTCGCTTCTCTGTCACGCTGTGTCCTGTATTGTACTTTCATTACCTACCTCCTGCCACAACCACTTCTCCTTTTGCCTTGTTTGCCCCGGTAAACGGCATCACTGTCCGCCCAGGTGCTCACGCCCACAATCGGGTTTATGCCAAGTTTCTCTCTGTCCCTCGCTGTGTGTGTCGGGGACTGTCCTCAGGGCATGTGCTTGTTTCTCTGCCACCACAGCTCCCTGAGCTCCCTGCTCCACTGTTGCTTCACTCGCCTGCTTTCAGGTCCTTGGCCCCGCGCGCCGTGGCCGTGTTGGAGAGGGTGTGCTGGGTCCCAGCACTGCGTGATTTCTGTCACACTTGCCCCAGGACCTCACTCCTTACATGTCCTTTGGTCCCCATACTCAGCACACCAGGCTCATTCTGTCCTTCAGACATTTTCTCCAGATAGTCCTTCTGCTCTTCCCTTTCTTCTGGTCTCTTAAACTCAGCGTAAGTGTCCCTTCCTCAGCAAGGTCATTCTGAATGACCCAATCTAAAACAGCCAGGCCCTCAGCTTCCTGCATGGTGCCTAATGTGCCGAGTAGTGTTACAGTCGGTACTGTTAGGGGTTTGTTCATTGTCTTTTTATTATGTATTTGTCTAACCCTCTCCCCTGTTATTTGTGGAATTAATGTTCCAACACCTCTTCCCTCTATTTCTCTCTGTCTCTGTATTTCTCAGGAAGAGACTTTCTCTCCATGTTTAATTTTCCCAGGTGGAGCGGGCGGAGCTCGTGGGGCGCAGGGGAGCTTGGAGTCTTTGCATTAATTATTCTGCTCATGATAGGCTGGGGAGATAACCAGTATCACTGGCTACGTGATTTGGATATAGTGATCATTATGCTGGGTCGTGTAATGATGATTAAATGATACAAACACCAGGGTTTTATAAATGTTTAACTAGATAATTGGTTATATTTAGTCACTCATTTTTTTGTTTGTTTTGCTGTAGTGCATTTCCTTTTTCTTTGATAAAAAGACAGTTATAATGATTAATGGCGTATTATTCAAACTGGTGTAAATCTCCAACACTTAGTATCTTTAGGAACATGTTACTTTTGAAATTGTTCAATACATTTTATGGGAGATAATTTTTCAAGTAGGAAGAAGCATGAATCGTT